TTACTCTTCTCAAAGTTTTTATTTCTTTAACATTTCAGGCTTCAATATCTACCTACTTTAAGTGTGTAGTCTTATTATAAGATGACTTGTGATAGGAGTAATTGGCCTAAAATTTTTGGCATAGGCTATTAACAATTTTAGTTATTATCTTGGAAACTATAATAAATAGAGAGAATCTGTGTAGACAGCTAAAAAAGATCAGCAATACTTGGTCTACCACTAATGCAAATGTATGTGAAACCAGTGTGTTTGCCCTACTTTAAAAACTACAATAGTCAGAAACTGTAAACAATAAAAATGATCAGCAGTATAAGATCCTAAAGCTTATATATATCTGAAACTAGAAATTAACTCCTAGGAATGATTGCCCTGAAATGGCAATTGTTTGACTCATTTTAGCACATTTGCCTTTCTACCTTGAAAATTATAATTGATAGATAGAAGCAGTCTTTAAACAATAAAAATGATCATGCAATACAAAATATAAAAAAAAAGTCAAGATGACTGAAACTTTCAACTTCTTACAGGAGTATATTACTGAAAATTTGGATTTATTGTGAGGTTTTTATTAATGCGAATGGGTGAGTATCACAATAATAAGAATTCGCATTCTGATATTGGAAAATTATATCTGTATGCAGATTTTCCTTTGTCCAGTCTTCAAAAATCAAAAATAATTTCTGAATTTACAGTATTTTTTTAGATTTACAGCATTTTGTCTGTTATTTTGAAAATTATTATATATAGACAGAAACTGTAATAACTGTAACAGTATAAATGATCAGCAATAAAAGATCTATAATCAAAGTACTGAAGTACTGAACATCGGATGACCGCAAGTTCTTGTGAATGGTCAAAAGCACTTGTCAAAGAAAAAAATCCCATCTCTATACCTGAAACTGAGGTTAATGTACAGAGATATATTTTTTTCTGAGACAAGTTCGTGCGTGGATAATGCATAAATGACAGGAAATTCAACCTCACCGTAATAACTATTATATTGTAGTGATACAAATTAGTATACACTGGTTTGTTGTTATATATTATATCAATATTGTAACACTATGCAGTGATCGAAAGAATTGCAATTATTAAATGTATTTGGTAAAGTTTATTTATAATTATAAAATCAAAGTATGTATTATTGTTAAATTACAAACGTGACTTTCTATATGTACATGCTTTGGCTTTAGGGATGTTCAAGTTTATGACAATTGCTTTTGCATTAAGTAACGGGTGGTCATCTTGTTGTGGCCAGTTAATTTAACGATATTCCCGGGCTTGTATTTCCTATCATGATTTCCTTGATAGAGGATTGCTGCTCACAAGGAAGCTATTAAACCAAGAGTTCCAAATGGTGATGTTGAAATCATCCCTTCGTAAATTTTAAGGACGCAATCACGAGTTGGTTGACCGTTATGGAATAACCGTTTCACAGATGATATCGGATATGTTCCTTATGTCGTAACTACAATACCCTTCCCTTTTCAGGAATGTGACCTACCGAATTAGACTATTTACCGGATTTGTAATAACATAAGCAACATGATGGGTGCCACATGTGGAGCAGGATCTGCTTACCCTTCCGGTGCACCTGAGATGACCCCCAGTTTTTGGTAGGGTTCTTGTTGCTTAGTCTTTAGTTTTCTATGTTGTGTCATCTGTACTATTATTTGTCTGTTTGTGTTTTTATTTTTGGCCATGGCGTTGTCAGTTTGTTTTCGATCTATGAGTTTGACTGTCCCTCTGGTATCTTTCGTCCCTCTTTTTTAACTTAAATAGGTTTGCTCTAATTAACCTAACGTTAAGTATATGGGACCAAAAGTAATGGTCACTTTTTAGAACAATTATATTTGTGGCATTGGGCTTTCTAAAAGTAAGTACCTATCATAAACAAAATTCTTTCTAAATTAAAGTCACATTCGTAGTTGTATAAAAAGAACTGTCCCTAACAAGGCAGTTCAGATTGTAACTAGGCACTGAATAAAAACAGTTCCTCTTAGCCATTGAGTTTAATAGTGTCACAATATAACAGTAATATGTATATATAATTTTCATCCATCTGTATATCATTCTATTCTACTATTCTAATAAGTGCAGTGCAAGTGCATGGTGGACACACTTCTGTAAACATTCGATTTTTCTAAAAGATTGGATATGAGTAGGCATTCATATTTTCCTGCAAAAACAATCTTCCATGCAGAGTTACCGGTCCTTGCAGGGATTGTCGCAAAATGTTCTTGAGATATTCTTCCGCATGCATTAACACAATTATCGGTACATGTGCATAGATATTATCAATGATTTTTTACTTATATATATATATATATATATATCTAACGACAAAACATTTTCATATTATTAATTTATGTTTTAAACAAAAATATTTTTATCAGTATTCATTGAAGAGAAGTATTTATAACAAACGATAAGGAATGTTAGTTTGCACTTGTTAATATCCCTGTATTTATCATGTTTATAGATCGGTTACAAACCCAAAATGAAAGTTACGTAATGGAAATCTAGGCGATAGCAATACATCGGAATGCCCTCACGGTCATCGCGATGTAAAAATCGATGGAAAATTTTATAAAAAAATTTCCTCCTGATTTTTATGCCAATATCGATGTATGGCTTATTTCTACCTTACGAGCAATTCACGCTATTTGAATCCAATCAGTTTTTCAAAAAAGATTTTCCAGCTAAAGTGAAAATAGTATTTTGAAAAAATTGTTATATAACTTAGAAGATCACTATGTTTATGGCATATATTAATGTGTTTATGTGTCAAGCATTTTGAATGTATGTCTCATTTCCCAGCAAACCTAATAACATTAGTAAAGAGATATATAAAAATCAATGTAATAAAATGCACTGTACAAAAGTAGATTAAGAGCTTCAACATTTTTAACAGACTTTTACAAGAATACTTCATTTTCCTATTATTAGAAAATTTCTAGTTTTGTAATGCAAAATCAGCAAAATTCATATACATGTGTAATACATCATGAGACATTGTATTAATAGCTTTTATACAGTGTCTGACTCTCACTTAAAAGTCAATAATGTCTTCTATTTTGGATGCTCTGAGTCTTTGCATAATAAAAAAGGTAATAATACCATTCGGTGTTAATTTGTTGCATGCAAAAATAGTCATTAATTTGACATTTAAAAATTTTTGTAAGTTTACTTTTCCAGTTCAATTTAGGAATTAATGCAGTTCCATTTGACTTCTTGCCACTTGACTTCACTTGGTATTATTGGTTAATATTTGCATGTTAGCCACTCATTAAAGGAGAAACATCAAAGATATTGTCACATTAATAATAGAAATTACAGACTTCCTGTTCATCAGCACTTGTTGATCTGCAGAAATAATAATCATTCTTTTATTCTTTGTCTTATAGTTCGCTGAACTGATTGCCCTTCACTCGTATTCTTTATACTTTTAACAAGGATGACTTTCTCCAATTAATTCTCACTTGTAGAATTTTTTTTTTCGCAAACTCCAGTTAAGAAGTAGTGTCAACCATTGAACACTTTACTATAGCATGTTGATTGACTGTTGGTTGCTTAACATCTAGTGGCAAATAATTCATGCATGTTCAGGACTAACCATGTAAATTTAAAGTCCTTACTCTGCAAAAGTTGAACAATCAACCATTAAACTGCATGTGTAAAAATGGTACCCATGAAAATAAATCCACAGTATCTTAATGCCTCGGGCCTTTGTGTGATCTCACAAAAGACAAGATTTCAAAAAGGTCAGGTTAGAATTCTTGTATAACATCAGAAATTATGTGACTATAGACAGTTTGGTACACACAAAAAAAAAACCAAACAAATAAACCATAATAATACAGTCATGCCAGTTTGAAAGAACTGGCTACTATGTGAGCCGTACTTACCCAGTGGTGGTAGTTATAAAATATTTGATACCTATGTCTGTGCCCTTAACAAGTGTTTCGAGAATAACCTGCATCACGTACACTCAAGACATAAAGTTTGGAAAGCCAGAAATATAAAATATTAAAACCAAAAGTGCCATAAAAGAACCACCAGAAATGCCTTAGGTTAACTTTTGTTTGAGGAAGTTGCAACCTTAGTACATTCACATGAATCAGAAATGTACAGACAAAATGTTTCATCTAAATTGCACCACTGACTTGTTAAAACTGGTTACAGGTAGATGGTAACCTTTGTGCCTTTGACAACTTTAAGACCCTGTACATTGATTTCCTTTATATCTCCTCTTGATGCATGGTTTATATAACAACTTAACAGTACATGTTATAATTATAGATTATCATTGGTCATCTCAACGAGATTGATTTTCTCGCTTGAGCCGGTACGGCGAAAGTGAGAAAAGCAATCGAGTTGAGATGACCAATGATGATCTGTTTATCGCTATTTTACCTGTGACGACGTTGTGAATTTCATTGACAACGGACACGTGTGCCCTTAGTTTCTAGCGATAATTTTTTATACCGCTCTACTGTGCTGAGAAAGGAAATTATCAGTCCGTAAGATCAAAGGAAAATTTCGTGAAATAGCGATAATGTAAAATATGTTCTGTTTGCAGAACAATTTGCATTCTGGAAAATTAGGAGAAACATATACACTGAATTAAACAAAAAAAAATCATGGTAATAATTGAGATATATGCATAAATTAGTAAAGATGATAGATTTAACAACTTTTGACAGATATTGAGTTATTAGAAAACAAAAGAACAATTGAATTGTGTAATACCTGTCAGGTAGATTGCTGGAGATATTATTTTAATAATTGAATAAGTTGGCTACTCACAACCAGAACCTATAATTGTTATTAATTGACATGAATTATGAGTGAATTTAAACCATCTCCCCTATAACCAGTCAATAATTTCCACTATGCCATATGTAACACAGTAGCATCAGTAGCCAGGATTTGTCATGTTTCTTCTATATATTGATTCTCAACACATGTTCTATTGTCAACATGCTTTTATATTTCAGTGATGTTTTGAAAACTATGAACCAGGTGAAATTGAGGAGCAATTGCTGACCACATGAAAAATGAGGATAATTTAATTCTTAATTGTTCCAGTGAAAATCAGGTAAATTTTATTCAGCAGGTATATTCCTAGGAATATATTCCATATATCTGTTATTTAAATGCTGGATATGTTGCCTTGTAATTTGCTATAATTGGATTTGAAATAATCTTTCCTGAGTATGTAAGTACCTTAGCCTAATGCTGTATAATGTCAGATAAGAATAACAATGTAATTATCCATAAGGTTAAGTGATGCTTAATATATTTTATATTATTTTAGGTTTAAAATAAGAGCAACAAAATTCTGTAAAGGTGAAGTAAAGTTCATTACAAATTTTTGTGGAAAAAGAATATATTGAAATACTTGAATTGATTTTGAAATTTTAGATTGGTTTGTGATTAAAAAAAAAATCAAAAAGATAAATGCTCCCCCAACAAAAAAACTATTTTTTATGCCCCCGCTGTAGCGGAGGGGGAATTAAGGTTTATCCATGTACGTACATCCCGAAATTGGTTTCTGTTCTCTAACTTTAGTTTGCCTCAACCAAATGTTATGAAACTTATACACAATGCTTATTACCACAAAAAACAGATCAAATTTGAATTTTGGTGGCGTCACTTTTACCATTCTAGAGTTATTCCCCTTTACAAATGAAAAATAATGCTGAATTTTATGTTTCCGTTCTCTATTTTATGTATGCCTCAACCAAATATTATGAAACGTATACACAATGCTTATTACCACGAAACACAGATCAATTTTGAATTTTGGGGGCATCACTTTTACCTTTCAAGAGTTATGCCCCTTTACAAATGGAAAAATTGTTGAATTTTTCGTTTCCGTTCTCTGAAGTTTGCCTCAACCAAATATTATGAAACTTATACACAATGCTTATTACCACAAAACACAGTTTAATTTGAATTTTGGTGGCGTCACTTTTACCATTCTAGAGTTATGCCCCTTTACAAATGGAAAAATTGCTGAATTTTTCGTTTCCTTTCTCTAACTTTAGTTTGCCTCAACAAAACATTTTGAATCTTATGCACATTGTGTATTACCACAATACTCAGATCAAGTTTGAATTAAGGTAGCCTCAATTTTACCGTTCTTGAGTTATGTCCCTTTATAATGTTGTATGCAAGCGGGGGCATCATCTGTGTCCCATGGACACATTCCCAATTTATTTTAAATATATTGTGGTATTGTAGTAGTTTCCAGTAAACAGTTATGTAAATTTTGAAACCAATTAAAGTTTGATTCAATCTGACATATCCAGCAGATATTTCTTTTCCATAAGTATTTTTGTAGTTTGATGCGGTATAACGTAACACTGATATATTCATACTATTTTACAACAGGCAAGAAGCTGAATGACATTGTCCATTCTGAAGACATGATGGCATTTTATCTAAAGACTTTAATTTAAGTTGACCAGGCCTTGTTTAACTTTAACACAATGTTATAGACATTGAAGATTGTTATTCCACCTATTTCAGAAAAGAGCCAACTTGTTTTGATATGGCTGTCCCTTATTTACCCTCAGATTTGTAGTAGCTTTTAATTGCTAATCTATAATGTGTCAAATAGACTTTAAATTACACTTTTAACATAATGCAGAGAATTTTAGTCCTCATCAAAGTTGGACAAATTATAAGCCCACTGGATGATTTTCTCAATATGTGACATGTCAATTGACTGTTTGTCTGTATCTTATTTTAAGTTCATAATCCTTTTACAGCGGTCATTGCCTTATGATCATTTTTTACCTGAGGTAAAGGTTTGTCCGTTCGTAAGTACATCAAGAAATTGGTTTCCATTCTCTAACTTTAGTTTGCCTCAACCAAATGTTTTGAAACTTGTCCACAATGCTTAGTACCACAAAACATAAATCAAGATCGAATTTGGGTGGTGTCAGTTTTACCGTATTTGAGTTATGCCGTTTTACAACATTATATGCAAACGGGGGCGTCATCTGTGTCCCATGGACACATTTTCCATTTATTTATTAAGTACCAAAGTCCTCAAGTTCTGTCAAGTTCTTTATTTTTCAGTTGCTTAACTCTATTGAGCATTGAACTATTTTCATCCTATCAGGAAGATTTTGTAATCAGTCTTTGAGTTCATTATTCCAGTTTTTGATTTGACAATATGGTTTGAAGCTACATTAACTTCTCAATAATGCATCATTGGGATTTACATTGAGCATTGAATATTTGATATGGAAAATTTCCGTGGTTATGTAAAAAGTCTACAGAAATCGACTGATTTCAGCATATTATTACGTAAGACCTTTGATGCATCAATGTGGGAGTATTATGTTCACTCTGGAACATCAATAAAAAAGTATAACAAAAATATCAAACTCCAAGGCAATTTGAAAAAAGGGAAGTCGATGAAACTGACAAAATCAAAGGCTACCAATCAGTGGAACAAGTGAAAACAACTGCCATATTCCTGACATGGTACAGGGTTAAACCTGGTTTTATACACTAAATAATCCAATTCATGACATTGAATGCCCAATGGGTTACAAAACAAATATGGTGAAAAGGATATGCCCAGTTTTCCGTGTCGCTGAAATTCAAAGAAATAATAAATTTGCATTCATGTATGTTAAGAATGTGTCAATTTTATCCCTAAAAACTGCAAGATTCAGATAAAGATATTTTAGACAAAATCATCACTAGATTTTAAACTTCACCAATTCATATAGTTTAAGGAAACTAATTTGATGTTTTTTTGAGATTTATAAAAGTTGAAGACCCACATATTGTAGAAAAGTTCACATGGATAATAGCTACAATTTTATGCAAACATTTGGCATACAGGAATTAAAAATTTCTTTTACTGAAAATTGTAGCTTCTGTCCATTTGATACAAATTATCCAGAAATCTCGGACTCTTGAATAGACTTTATGTTACATAGTCTCTGACTTTGTTTTAAAAAAAAGGAAAGTGAATCTTTATATACAGCAGTTTCCAATATTTTACAAATATTCATATATGTGACTTTAAATTTCAATCAGTAAATGGCCTGTTCAATTTCAGTTGCAAACATGATGAATTATACAAGAAAAGTATAGATCATGTAGATATGATAACAATTGTTTATTTAAGACGTAATTAATATTTATAGGAAAAGTTGTGTCAAAGAATATTGAAGATATTATCTGCTTGTTATTAATTCCTTAAAAAAAAGTCAAGCGAAGGGGATTTCAAATTTAAGGCTGAGTGGATACCAGTTTAAAAAATATCTTAATTAATTACATCAGGTATTCCAACACAATGAAAAAACCAAAGCAAAATAACATTATTTTGAAGCATTATTTTTGTTTACGTCTTATGATTCATTTTGCAGTTTTTCTTTGGTTAAGTATGTGTTTGTTTCTGATGTATCAATTGTGTACTGCAGCTAGGAATGTACAGTACTGTGTTTCAAGGTTGTTGGCAAGGTCAAACAGTTTGTATTGTAAACGAGAATGTATCATTAGATAAAAAAAAAAAAAAGCTATGGACACTGTCATTACTGCTGCAATTTTTATAAACTTCAGTGACTATTTAAAAAAAAAACATGTGAAAACCTGTCACATAATATTTTATCCCCGGCTTAGTATATTTCTAGGATTCTGATTGGTTAACGCACATCGTTACAAAACCCATAGCCCCTGGGTGTTGCTAACCCATATCCCCGGACGTTGCTACCCATTACATCAGGGAATTTCACGCGCATTTTCCTTAGTTCCATGGTTGTTCCTTATGAAATATCGAATTCTGTAGATTTTCCATGATGTCTGTATAATTAAATATTTAATCCACTAACGATTTTATCTTATTATATCGATTATTTGCACTCATTTTAGTAAATGCATCACTATGCAGACACATTGTCAATGAATGGTACTACTGACCTAGCTATGCAAATGACCCACGTTGACGAGACACTGTTTATGATGTAACTCTCACAACATTGCGTGCCAAATTCGACCCATTTCAGTTTCTCTGTCTCTAGTTTAAAAACGTCTTATATTTGTCTACCTGTAGGGTTCTACCAAAGGTAGTACCCTACACCCCGTTAAAAATATGTCAAATTCCCAAATTTCAATAAAAGATATTTAAAAAATGAAAAAACGTTGCTTTCACGTTTAACTTTGTGGTCGAATTTTTCTAAAAATCGCCAGATTTAGACTAAGACCTGGGATAAATTCGTTATCTACGTTCATATCCGTAGATATGGATATTTTAACACCCTTCAGTACCCTGTACACCCTTCGGCTGCGCCTCAGATACTTCAGGGTGTTAAAATATCCATATCTACGGATATGAACGCAGATAACTTATAGTAGCTAACAATTTCTCCTAAGATAGCTATAGATTTGTTTTAATGTGATATGTAACTTTCCAATCGTAATTATTGATATTTTATTTATCTATTATTTTACTTCCTATTAGTAAAACCTGATGAAGACACATTATGAAATGGTTTAGGTATAACAACCAACAGATGGTACATGCATTAAGGGATTAATCTACAATATCTTCTTAAGTAGAGAGAGATAAATCAGAAACAATTTTTAGATTTTAGCCTTCAATAACTTTCAGCAATATCAGTTTGATTGAGACATTGTACAATTATTGCCTTCATATGAAGTTAACATCAAAAAGAAAGGTGTTTTCAAGTTCACTTTACCACTTGGTTTACAGCTCACAGGTTGACAAATCCTTTAACACTCAAGGGTTGACAACTTTGATGTTCAACTTTATTGAAATCAGTTTGTTTTTTATACTGAAAGGATTGAAAGGACTAAAAGATATAGCAACCAAGGCTAAATAGAAAAAAAAATAAAAAAAATGAAATTTACATTACAATTTGAAAGCATTTTCAAGCATCCACTGGATTGACAATTGTTGACATAAACAGTCTTGTACCTTACTTACCATCTAGTCCTTGTTATTCATGGAGGCACATAGGGCAAGGACTTAATCTAACCACTCTTCTCTATTCTTTCCTGTCTTGTCTATCTCACCCCAGTTGATTCACTGGTTTATCAATTTCAGCTAAT